ATGCCCCTACACCTCATTCTCCTGTGTCTTCAGATTACGTATCCTGGTGAGCTGCAGGAAAAGAAATGCAATTCTTTCAGTAAGCAATTGTGCAGTATGTGAAGAACTGAATCTAATACTGAATTCAGCAGAGAATAGGATGATGATGATGATTATTTTTTTAATAATAAAACCCCAACTGCTGATGTTGCAGGATTTCAACTGCTGCGGGACCTGACCCCAAAATTCTGTTGTACATCTGATTCTAGCAGAAAACCTTTGGAGGTAGCTACTGAAAACTCACTCACATTGCCAACAGGCTCATCTCCTTCCTCTGCTCCAAGTATAACCACTGCAGCCACCTTAAGCTTCACTCCACAGGACCAGCACTGCAAGTTATGTAAAGCTCCTGGCTAAGAACTGAAGTCAGAGGCACAAATGACAACATTTTATAAGGAAGTAACCCTTGATTTTTAGTGTTGCCACATCTATATATTAATGCATCAATTTTGTAGGAAAATGTGAAGCTCAGAGAAGTTCTGCTAGCCTTCTGGTAATACTGAGCACTGCTCCCTGTGAGAATCGCTGACTGTGTTTGGCAGAGGCAGCTTGAAATGGGATAAGCAAATAGTGCCTGACCTCTGGGTCCTCTTCATTTCCCACCTATCAAGTTGCAAGCCTCAAAGCTGTTTACAAATAGAGAGCACTTTGCAAATTTACATCTCGAAATGGTGGGTGAACATACCTGAGGGCACTCAGGTATGTTCACCCACAGCCATGGCATTGGGTGCCACCTGGTTGAGGGCAGGGTTATTCAGAAATGGACCAGATGGGAGGTTAAATGCTACAAGCACACAGGAGCAGGAGGAAGCCCTGCAGCAAGTCAAGCTGGGCTCTGCTTCTGGTAAGGTGATGAGCTGGGCAGGAGCCAGGGATGTGCCCTGACCATAAGGGTGCTGGTGGCATGCTGGGCTGGGGGAATGGGAGCAGGGCTGAGAGATGGAGGGATGGGGGTATTCCTTTTTGATCTACTAGTTCTGCCTGTCCCCTCCTCCTCTGTGCCTCATTGCCCAGGCACTGAGAGCTGTCCCTAACCCCTCTGTGGCAGGATGCCTGTTACGACATAGAATCATACAATCCTTAGAGTTGAAAGGATCCTTTGAAGGCCATCTAGTCCAACTCCTCTGCAATGAACAGGGACACCACAGGTAGATCAGCTTGTCCAGGGTCTGGTCCAGCCTCACCTTGAAATTCTCCAGGGATGGAGCATCCACCACATCTCTGGGCAACCTGTTTCAGTGCCTCACAACTTTCACTGTAAAAGACTTTTTCCTTATGTCCAAGGATATATTGGATACTGAAAGGGTCTAACATACAGGTGTAAGGCTGAGAAAATAAGGCAGGAAGGAGAAAGGGGAAAAATAAAGAAGAGCCACACTCAAAAACCCAGCTCTAGCCCTGTCACTAGCAAAAAGCATCTCTTTCCTTCCTTACCCCTTCTCTGGCCCCAGCCACGTTCAGGTGATGTCAGCCTTCCCTTCCCTGCTGCCATCACCTTATCTGTCACCTCCTTGTGTGCTGGACCTTTCCCCACCCGCAGCAGGAGCAGCAGTGGCTGCTGCCTTTTGATTGCTGCCTTCTGCCCCATGCACGTGTGCCCGAGGAGCTGTTTTGCTAACAGCAGATGTCTGCAGCCCTGCGTGCTCAGCGGGTGCAGGCTTAAGAGTGCAGCACTCTGGCCTTTTTGCCTTTGGGAGGTTGGTCCTTATAGTTTTGAAGCACCCTGCTGTATGCCACATGCTTTGCCACCAGTGAGGTGTCCTCTGAATGGCAGCAGTGGGGCTCAGAGGCTCTGGGGGATCCGTCACTCTCATCAATGGGGACACTCAGTGCTGCTTCTGCAAGATGTCACACCCTGTGCTGAGCTTAGGCCCCTGCACACAGTGCTATCACAGCAGTCACACCCTGCTAAAGCCACCAGAGTGGGTCCTTGGTGGCTGCCTTGTGTGCTGCAAGACAACCTGCTGTCTTATCATTCTTCTTCTAATCATTCTTATCATTCTTCCTCCTGACACACTGGTGCCCAGGCAGCCCCCAGCGATCGCCTGTAGGAGAGCTGGAGGTTCATTTTGGGAATTCAGCACATATCAGAACAAGGTCTCTCCCTTGGGACTTGCTGTGGCTGCTGGGCTCTGAAGAGCTTCCCTCTGCCCTCCCCAAACAGCCACATGGCCAGAGGGGCTCAGCTGAATGAAGGTTTGTCTGTTCCAGTATGCAACAGCAGACCTTACTGCTGTTTGAAAAGCAAGGACCTTTGGGCACCCGTGTGTTTTGCTGTTGTTTTTTTTTTTTTGAAGGATGTTCAGAAAAGAGCATCTAAATAGAGCACTTGGTAATCTGAAAGGAACTCCTATGGCTTCTGTGTTGCAATGTGCTATGGACAAACTCATCCACGCAGTGCTGATGAGGGTGGACTTCACTCCTTCCAAATTGGTGTTTCTGAGCTAATGGAGCTTGGTGCTAACATAGAATCACAGAATGGCTTGGGTTGGAAGGGACCTCAAGGATCATGAAGCTCCAACCCACCCACCACAGGCATGGCCACCAACCTCCACATTTCATAGCAGCCCAGGCTGCCCAGGGCCCCATCCAACCTGGCCTTGAACACCTCCAGGGATGGACGGGGCATCCACAGCCTCTCTGGGCAGCTGTTCCAACACCTCACCACTCTCACTCTCCACTCTTTAAAGTGGATTTATATACTGCATTATGACAGTGTGAGATGAGGGTTTCAAGCATTCTAGCCTCAAACTCTTTCCATCGGTCATTTGCTTTCTGTCTGGGTGCCCCTTAGCAACACCCCATGGGTTTGCTTTCCTCCAGGCATTGCACAGCCGTGCTGTGAATACTGGTTTGCTTGGCTTGCTGGGCTGCTCCCTGTGCAGAGCTGCTGCCCTCCTCACAGCTCTGCAGCTGCCTGACCTCTGTGTTAAATGCCAGCATGGTTTCACCCTTGCCTTTTGGATTCCATCTGCCTTTTTTAACCCTTCTCTCCTGCTGGAAGCAGCACAGTTCTAGAGATGCTCTAAAGGGAGACTTCAGTGATCAGCAGTGGGTGTTCCCCCTGCTACCAGCATGATGTGCTGCATGCAATTGGCATGGGAGATTGGCATTTCCTACCTTGTGGACCTTAAGGTAAACGTTTGAATTACTCCTTTCAGAACAATATCTGATCACTCTCAGCAGAACTGTGAACAGTAGTAAATGTGCTCTCCCTACGTGCAGCTGACAGAGCTGCTGTTCCTTCCTAAGTGTAATTAATGTCTATAGCCAAGTGTCAGACGAGCATTGCTTCTTCCTGCTGTGCTTGGCTGACCTTTTCCTTCTCACGTGCCCATTCCTTTTGGCAGTGGGATTCAGATGCAGGCTCAGGATGCATGAGCATTCATTTTTAGCACTCAGCCCTGCTGTGTGATATTTGTGCCCTCCTGGCTGGGACCAGAAGCCCTTTCAGCAATTTGGGAACTTCCTGTATAGCAAATAGAGACCTCCCTCAGATCCTCTCCCATTTCCTGCTGGCGCAAGGCTTCATCTATTGCTATCTATCAAGCTCACTCATTTGCATTGTATTTTGTTTTTAATTCCTTACCTTGAATAGATGGGTAGGATGTCACAGGACTTCAGTGCAAAGCATAAAGCAATTGCTGTCTTTATATTCCCTAAGTCAAACAAATAAAATGTTGTTTCACTGACACGGGTACCACTTTTGGAAGTAGAATTTACTTTTCCGTCAGCAAGATGCTAGCTCTTACGGGTAAATCACAGATTTAGAATGGCTTGGGTTGGAAGGGACCTCAAGGATCATGAAGCTCCAACCCCCCACCAATGCAGGGCCACCAACCTCCACATTTCACAGCAGCCCAGGCTGCCCAGGGCCCCATCCAACCTGGCTTTGAACACCTCCAGGGATGGACGGGGCATCCACAGCCTCTCTGGGCAGCTGTTCCAGCACCTCACCACTCTCACAGCAAACAACTTCCCCCTGACATCCAACTGAAATCTTCTCTCCTTCAACTTCAAACCATTTCCCCTTGTCCTGCTGTTATCTCCCCTTTCCAAGAGTTGACTCATCTCCTGTTTATAGGCTCCTTTTAGGTCCTGGAAGGCTGCAATGATTCACCCCAGAGTCCCAAACCTGGACACAGTACTGCAGATGGGGCCTCATGAGGGCAGAGCAGAGAGGGACAATGCCCTCCCCTTCCCTGCTGGCAACCCCTCTGCTCATTTACTTTCTAAGCTGCAGGAGCACACTGCTGGCTCATGGTCAGTTTTTCATCCACCAGGACCCCCAGGTCCTTCTCTGCTGGGCTAATAAAACCTCTCTCTGTACTCCGATTTCACATCATATAAAATCAAGGTCTTCTTTGGAGAGCTCTCTTTTCATAGTGGTCGTATCACGTACTGTTTATAAATGCATTCTGTCTGAGCTTTGGAGTAATTGTGGAAGTGTGTTTTTAATTCTCCATGTTTGACTGGCAATGTTCTCGAGACCCTCCCAAATACAGTCCATAATCCACGTCTGTAGAGTGGTGAAGGCAGCTGTTAGGAGAATGCAGAGGGCATTTCCCTTCTGATGGAGTAGCACTTTTATGCATTTATATGTTTATAGAAATAAGGATGGTACAGAAAGAAGTGGTACAAACTAGCTTTATACTGTGTGCTTGTTCTGCACTGGAACAGGTTGCCCAAGGAGGTTGTGGATGCCCCATCCCTGCAGGCATTCAAGGTCAGGCTGGATGTGGCTCTGGGCAGCCTGGTCTGCTGCTTGGCGACCTGCACATAGCAGGGGGTTGGCACTGGATGAGCATTGTGCTCCTTTGCAACCCAGGCCATGCTATCATTCTACGACTTGTTATACTGCAGCTCCGTGAACTGCTTGGGACGTAAATTCCCATCCTGATTTTGAGTACTAAATGCTTTTTTTGATTTTGAGTATTAAGTGCTTCCACTGTCTTTTGCAGAACCAAAAAACAAAAGAGCAGATTGAAAACTTGCTGCAGAATGGAAAGCATAAGGAGCTGCGCGATCGCCTCTGCTGCAGGCTGAGCTTTGGGACTGCTGGGCTTCGCTCTGCCATGGGAGCAGGCTTCTGCTACATCAATGACCTCACCGTCATCCAGTCAACACAGGTGAGCTGCAGTGCAGAGAACTGAAGGGGTTCACAGTAAACTTTTGGGTCATAACTGTTCTGCTGAAAGATAAACTGAAGGTGAAATGTAGGCGTTCAAGAGGAGGGCAATAGCATCGAAAGTTTTAGGATTGGAGGAAAATAAAGTAGCTTGAACAGGTTTATTCATGTCATCATAGAATCATAGGATGGCTTGGGTTGGAAGAGACCTCAAGGATGATGAAGCTCCTACCCCCCACCAGAGACAGGGCCACCAACCTCCACATTTCATAGCAGCCCAGGCTGCCCAGGGCCCCATCCAACCTGGCCTTGAACACCTCCAGGGATGGACGGGGCATCCACAGCCTCTCTGGGCATCCTGTTAAAGCAAATGGGCATCTTAGCATAGAATCACTTCAGCTGGAATGTAACCTAAATCTATTACAACCTAAATCTGCTCTGAAGCTGGAACGCATTGGCTTTAATGAGGACTGTTAGTATTTTGCAAAAAGACCACCACCAAAACCAATAAAACCAGAAGAAAACAAACCCCCAAAACAAAACCACCCCCAGCCCCACAAGCCTTTTCTTTTTAGCCAAAGTTGTGAACGAGGACACAAAACAAAGAGCCAGTTTTAATAGGAGAACAAGCAGGGAGTAAGATGAAAAAACAAATACAGACTGGCGAAGAACATCTGTTGTAAACTGCTTAACTTCTGGGATGGCCTTCCAGTAACAGCAGTTGATAGCATTGTTTGCAATGGATTTGGATAGTGTGGTTAAGAGCCTCTGCATTACTGTAGCTTTGCTTTTAACTCTTGTTTTAAAACAGAGAAGTCAGTAAGTAGTTGGAGTGGACTGAACCTCAGACTGCAAACCTGGTGCTAGAAAGGGTCTTATGGGATGGAGTGAAGTTTTGGACACTCAGGCTTTAGTCTTAATTTCCTTCTGTCATAGCGACGAGGCTCCATGGTGTATGTTAGAAGGGCACAGGAGCTGGTACATGGAATTGAGGAGCTGTAGGGTCACAGAGGTGGTGAACACTGGTGGCAGAGGCTCCTCACTATTAACACATCTTTCCCTTGAACTGGTTTTGGCTATTAGGACTAGCTCTTTAAGCTCATTGACAACCAAAACTAGTTGCTTAAGCCAATAGCAACCAGCCCTCTGGACTTGTTCCTTCAGTGCCTTGTACCCTTCTTTTTTTTTTCTGTGTTGATTTTGGTCTTGAACACCAGATAAGGAGTGGAAAACGATCAGATTTCTCCAGTTCCCTCCCTGCTACTCTTTTAAGCAATGTTTGAATGTCCAAATAAATCAACATCTTGATTAACATAGGGCTTTGTCATCTCTGCTGTTCTTTGCAACAGTGTTTTGCTCATAGCAGGTGATACCTTCTTTCTCCAAGAGCTTGGCCCCTTGTTGACTTCTTCTTTCTCCATCTTTTAAGTAAACACTTTGGGAAGGAACAGCTGATGCTGATTTGGTTATTGATCAGAAGTGCTCCATTCTCCTCCATATTGCTGTCCCACAGTGGCTTTGTTCTTCAGCTTACTCATTCTACAGTACTGGGGTCCATCTCAGTTGATGTGTTGCTCTGTCATTTTTTTCCCCTCAAACAGGTTAATCTTCACTACTAAGCTCCATAAGAAATTAATTAAGAATACATTCTTAATTAATTAGATCTGTCATTGCCCTGATTTTAAGCATGTCTAACAGGAGGCTGAGTAGTGATTTATCCAGGGTTGTGATCATGCTGTATTATCATTCCTGACATCAATAGTCACTCTTACCACCATAAAGCACATGCAAATGTTAAGCACAAAGCAGTTGGATTCCTATGGATTCCTAGTATCCAAAATACAGCTTTGTGCCAGCCCAGTGGAGGTGGTAGGAAGCAAGGAAAGGAAACTGTTAAATCCTGAAAACAAATAGCATGAGTCAGCAAATGGATGCTCCGTATTTCCCTTCCTTATGAACATACAAATGGGTTTGGACTGTGTGTGTTGAACATAATGTCCTTATTCTTGAGGATTGAAAACAAACTGATCTATTTGCCACCATTTATTATTCTCAGAATATCAATAGAAAGTTCTCATTAGGATAAACCTGTTGAAACTTGCCTGCTCTGTCAGCTGTTTTGTTGGTAAATGGCACTTCAGCCATAAGATAAAGGGTGTTTTATTACATGATTTATGAAGGGTAACTAAAGTCTTTCACTGTAACACTCAGAACTTAAACGCTTTTATATAGCTCTGTCTGTGTAGGTTAATGCTCTCAAATAAGATCCTCACACATAGGGCTGAAATAATTTGTATTCTTTTCACAGAATTGAATCAAAGAGTTGTAGGGGTTGGAAGGGACCTCCAGAGATCATCGAGTCCAACCCCCCTGCCAAAGCAGGTTCCCTACACCAGGTCACACAAGTAGGCATCCAGGCTCAGTGCGAAGAGTTAAGAAGGCTTGGAGCAGGCAGGACTCTGTTAAAGCTGCTGACACTGCTGGTGGCTGACTTGTACACCTGCAGCCCAAGCTTCTGAGGTGCAACCAAATTCCAAGGGTTCTTTGTACTTTCCAGAGAAGAGAAACAGCATGCTGGGGCTCACCAGAGTTTGAAGCCTGACCTTATGTCTGACCGTTTGGTCTTTTTGATTTCATCTTAGGTCTAACAGAGTTTGCTTTAGGTTTCTAGCATTTAAACTGGGCATCTTAGAGCGATGCTTCCTTCAGCTCTGGCATCAGCAAGTCTGCAGATGACACTGAGTGGAGTGGTGCAGTTGATACAATAGAAGCTGTGAATACCCCATTGCTGGAGATGCTCGAAACCAGGTTAGATGGGGACCTGGACAACCTGATCTGATGCCTGATTTAATGGCTGGCAATCCTGTTTGCAGCAGAGGGCTGAAATTAAATGATCTTTGAGGTCCCTTCCAACCCAACCCAAGCCACTCTGTGATTCTTTAGGATCAGAGCCAACATCTTGCTAGTACAGAGGAATGAAGAGCTGTCACCCCACTCTTCAGCCAGTGCAGCCTGCTGAGTTTGGAGCTGCTCACACTTTGAGCTCTTGAGATCTGCATGCTGCCTTTGTTTGCTGGGACTCACGGAAGCAGGTCTGAGCTCGGCTCAGCTGGCCAACTGATAAGCACTCTTGGCAGAAAGCAGAAAGCGTGACTTTGGTCAGCAGGGAGTCTGATTGCAAGTTCAGTTTCATGGGCCTTCCGTGCTTCTGAAAGGGGGAAAGTGGCTGGGTTTCATTTGCTCTCTCTGCACACCTTCTGATTTAAGCCATGTATCAAAACCACTTATCAGGCTAGAAAAAGCAATCAGGGAAGCAGATAAAGATTTCTTTCTGAAGTAAATTGCATTAGACTTAATCTGTTCAATTCTGGCTCTCTTACTTCAGAAACTAATGATGCTAAGAGAGTTTTGCAGGACCTTAACCTGAAAACGGGCAGTGCTGTCTCTAAATCTGTCCTTAACTACTACACACCGTTCAAATAGGTCTATTAGAATTACACCTTAGACATTCATTACACCTTAGACATAGGTGTAATGCAAATACTTCCTTTCAGTTAAAATAAACCTTCGTTAAGATGCATGCTTAAGCACCTGCTGTGTTCTTGAGGGCATGATTATGTTCATGCCATGAAAAGTCAGCTGCAGAAGGGCATAGATATCCAGGAGCTGCTTCTGATTCTTCTGAAGACTGTAGGGACATAACTTGTGCATAAAGCCTACTTTTCTGTCCTGTTTAACATCCAAGTGTTCATCATTTGGACGTGAGGGTGAGGTAGGAATCAGATGTGTGGAATCCTGGAGATGCTGGGCCTGCCAGAAGGGAGGGTTCAGTGGATGGTTTTACTTTTACAAACAGAGTCCTGTGCCTTTCTATGCTCTTATGTGGATGGGGCATCCTTTGCCCAAGGAGGTTGTGGATGCCCCATCCCTGGAGGCATTCAAGGCCAGGCTGGATGTGGCTCTGGGCAGCCTGTGCTGCTGCTTGGCGACCTGCACACAGCAGGGGGTTGGAAGTGGATGAGCATTGTGCTCCTTTGCAACCCAGGCCATGCTACCATTCTGTGATTCTATGATCCTTTGTTGTGTCTGAGCTTACCTTGGCTTAAGCAGTTTGCCTGTCCCTGTTAGTTCCTTGTTTCTATGCAGTTCCAGTTCAGGTCATGTGGTGCTGCTTCATGTGTAAACCTTGGACAAACCTTTCTTGTGCAATTTCCTGGGGTTTGAGGAACGACTTCAGGATACACTCTACAATATGCCCTGACATCAGGATTCTACTGGCCAAACAAGGGCCTCTTGCTGAGACACCTCTGGCTCATCTCTCTGTGTCATGTTCAATCTGTTCCATCCAAACGTGAGCATGTGCTTCCCATTCCCCTGCCTCATATCTCTTTACAACCATGGGTGAAAGATCTTGAAGTTGTTGGGGTGGTGCGAAGGTGACTTCATGCTACGAGCCAGCATCCAGTTTCATCAGGATTCAGAATATTTATTGAAGTGTGTCTCTGTGCATCCCTGTGCAGTAACCCTACTGTGGCTGAAATGGTTCTCTGAAGAGGTATTTGTGTCCACGTGTCAGTGCTTGAAGTCCTTTCCTTGCTGCATAACCTTAGAAGAATTCAGCTGAACCAAGTTTTATGGTTAGAATCGTAGAATCATAGGATGATAGAATGGCCTGGGTTGCAAAGGAGCACAATGCTCATCCAGTTCCAACCCCCTGCTGTGTGCAGGT